AAAACTCCAGTGGGACACACCTCCTGCCAAACAGCTGGCTTATGCCCGTGCATATTTGGACACGCAATATCACAAGTATCATCCTTGTACGTTGCTGATTTGCAAGGGATGCTCATTTATTTTCATCCTTTTTCAAACCAAGTTTGGCGCACCCCTCCCACGCTGTGGTGAGGCACCCACCGCTACCATGTTCTGTAACCGCATCTGTTGGGCGGCATCACAACTACACACCTGTCCTTCCTCATGCCCACATCTAAAGGAAGCTGGCAATTCAAGTAAATTATTTTATTAGCCAGCCCAGATATTCTCAAAAGGCAGAATCTGAGAATGTGAGAAAGCTTTCAATATGAAAATAGGAGCCAGCCAACTATGACAGAAATACAATCAACAGCTTTTATGGCAACATACCACAGCTAAACCTGTTTCTACAAGCCACAAAAGAAGTTTTCCCAATTTTCTTAACAAAAAGCATGAACTGACAACTAGAGTGTATTTGCTGAAGAGGTGCCATACGCAGCAGAATTCACTCCAGCAATTCAGCAAGAAGTCCATCACTGTATGTGAAACTACAACACTGCTTTTTATGTAGCTGTGTACCTATCAAGTGAGTTTTATCTTTTTAGTAGCCATTCATTTTGGATCGCAAGTCCTTCCTGCTTTTCACGACATCTGTGCCTCTTCTTCTCTAGCAGAACAATTTTATACCATCAGCAGCTTGTCACCTCAGCATCTCATAATTTTTTTCAAATCATTTCTGAATGTACTGAACAGCATCAGTAAAGTTACGTTACCAATAAAACCTGCTTCAGCTGTCCAAACGCTTGAGTTCTGCTTACTTGAATTGTTTCTTTTAGATTGTTGAAGCCAATTGTCTCAACCCTTGGCAGGAGCTCGAGAACAAGGAATAAGTGCACTGTGAATAGAAATTACTTGATGTCCTTAAACATAAGCCAGTCTATCTAAATTAGCACGTACATGACTTATGTAAGTAGTTAAGAGTCAGACTGCAGAAGCTCAGCATACCAGATGCTGAATTACCACATGGATGAGAAATTACTTTCCAATTTAGGATCACAAGAATGGTCGTCTTAATCACAAGATATAAACCAGACACCACTAGCAAACAGTACAAAATTTTAATTGCGAGTTAAACACACTGCTATAGATTATTGGATTTAAAAAAAAAAAAAAAGGAACCAACAAAAAGGCCCTTTTTAGGTTTATTTCATGTGGTTTCACTGCAATACTCCCTCCAGCCCATTCTGAATCTCTTCAGTAAAATAGCTATATCTCCTTTCCAGGGTATCAGTAGTTGATTTTAAAGTGAAAACACAGCTTAACTGTTCACTTGTCATTCCCTGAAATGGGCGACTCAGAACAGATTGACTCAAGTTTCCTAACCTACAAGATTTTGCCTCTGCGCAAAGTCCGTGTATGGAGTCCTTTCCACAAAGGATGAGATTCTCTGCTCGGGTACAATCCCATAATAACCTACCCCAGTGCAAAGTGAAAGCACGGTGCTCTTAGAGCCTGCTACTATTCTAGCAGGTGATACTGCATCCCAGACAGCAGAGAAATGCTCACACAAGTGAGACTGCCCCCTCCTTTCTCAGTTTTCTTGCTTTTCAATTCCCAATTTCTATCACTTTCCCAATTTACGCTGAACTAGCAAACTGATGAACTACTTGCAAAATACATAAAAGCCCTGTAATACTGTATTTTCAAACAAATTATGGCCACCAGCAGGTTAACCGAATCTGATGCAAACCCCACCTCTGCTGTGTTCACACACAAGTCCTTTGCAGAGATTCCTGTGTCAGAAAGCTTCCTCACAGAGGACAGAAGGCTTTTTCTTCCTGAAGTTAAAGCCCCTACAAAAATGCTAGAGACAAGAGCAACAAACAAACAAACAAACCCAAACAACCATTCTCCCCACCAAACCGTAGCCATTTGCCAAGTTCAGATGTTATCCTCCGAGGATGAAACACTGAAGTATTAAGTGTGATGTGCGCTACCTTGATTTATAACACATTAGTATCAGACATCCTGAAGATTACCAAGAGGACATCACTTTTTAAAAAGACCCCAGAAGCAAGATGTTGATTCGGTGATGGCATTAGCCTGGTACCTGTGTGGGCCAAAGCAGGAAAGCGGGACGCAAAGGGAGAAGTCAAATGAACCTTCCTGAAGTGAAGTCACCTTGCAGGTCTTTCTAGATTTCCAAAAGCCATTCAGTAACGCACCTCAGCAAAGGCTCTTACGGAAACCTTGATGTGTCTTAGGACAAATCAAAAGGCCACACATGAAGAGCTGGTGAAAAGACACACAACAAAGGCCAGTATGTCTCCGAAGGGAGCTCTGCAGAACTGTGTTGGAGCCTGTGCTATTCAGTGTGTTTGTTACAGGTAAATAAAAGGATGACAACATTTGCTGGAGACACTAGGCAAATTCAGAGTAGTGAAGACAAGCACAGTCTGCAAACAAACGAAGGAGGAGTTCCTACTGCTGAGTGGGTGGTAAAATGGCACACAAAATTCACTGTATGTGCATATTTAATGCACATGGTGAAAATAATTCTATTTTTAGACAGAGATGGACTCCCGAGTTGGCTATTTCCATGCAGGAATGAGAATCTGGCATGACAGAAAGGACTATGAAAATGCCAAATCACTGTTCTCCAACAGAGAAAAAGCAAAAACTGCTAGGGGCTACTAGGAACGGAGCACAAGGATGAAAACGTGATGCCAGCATTTTAACTCCTAGCATAAGAAAACCAGAAGGAAAAGGAGATATAAAGATGACAACGCTTACGAAAGGCCACTGAACACGAAGACACTGCCCCCAGCTCTGTGAACCACAGAGCCAGGAACTACTGGGAACTGAGCGAGCCTGCTGGGAGGTGAGGGCCCTGCTCCGACACCGGCCAGTGCTGCGGGCAGGACATGGGCAGGACGGACCTGGACCTCCAGCCCGCCTTGGCCGCTCTTATCGTTTCTTATCTCTCGTCTGCATTCAGAGCTGGAGCCTTAAAAACGATGTTGCAACTCTGACTGAAGATAACAGACAGCACGACAGCTTAGTTGATCTAAGACAGCGTTCACCGAAACCAGGACGACTAGAGCGAGTTACACAGGAGCAACTAACAAATTCATAAACCACTGCACATCAACTGACGTAATCGTAGTTTATCATCACACATACCTCATGAGAGCAGAAAAAAAAGCCACCCAAAATAAATCTGTTATCAGATAAAGCACCGATAAAACAATGGGACCAACATGAATCAAGTCACTTTTCACTAGCTGGTTACAGGGGATGCACAGTAGAATGAAACTTTTTATTCTCTGAACAGGTAGGCCAGCAAAATGCAGTAGTTCAAAGGGTCTTTTTTTTTTTCTTTAACTTATTATGATGAACTTGGATAAAATACCCTAAATTACAATACATGAAAAAAATTGAGAAGAGACAGGTCACACACAGAATCACACAGAAATGTTTATTTCTTCTCAAAAGAAGACTGAAAGAGAATAGATTCCAGAGGTTTATGGTGACCTGAAGTCTGGGGAGGAAAATATCATCTCCTTTTGGGGGAAGGAGTCTGTCTCAGGAAATGTTTAACACGTCAGGCACATGTTTGGATCCACTTAAGTGAAAACAACTTATGAGGGAATTGATATTACGAAATGCAGTCACTAACAGAAGAACGTATGGACAGATGTTTTAGAAAGCCTCCCTCAATCCTAAAGTGTTTCTACTGAATCACTGAGACAAAATTACCTAGGAGGAAGAGGGGAAAATAGTTCAGTATGATCAGCAAATACATCAGAGTTTTTCCTATCACGTTTGCTTCAGCGGAGCTCCATCGTGGTGCTCTCACCAGCAAGTCCCTCGCAAGCCCTGAGGGCAACAGGCAAAGGCTTGCCCATCTGCACAGCAGAAACGAGCCTGTCTGGAAGCACACTGTAAATGAGTAAGCAAAAGTCTCCGCACAGCCGACACAACCTCGTGACTGCAATTATCAGAGAGCACAGCAAACGTCTTCCATGTGCTTTCAAACAAATTTCACCATTATGGTTCTTTGGTCATAGCCAAAACTCCGATTTGCTCTGTTATAAGGATTAACATGAGCATTGCCAATGAAAAGTTCATGCAGCTCATTAAGAATACCAACCCTAAAAATGCAGATTTTATACAGGATGAAACAGTTCTACGCAGGAGATTTCAGTGATTTCCTTTCCTCTCCTGTACTGAATGGTCACACAGCAACAGCAGACTTGGAAACACATTCATCCTCTGTAGATCTGAACTCGCACACAAAAAATTCACTGCTGCATAAAACAAGATTGAAACTTAAGTGAACGGTAAAGCGTACTCTCCCATACAGAAATGTGAAAATCTAACTGGCTGGAGAGCAGGTGCCCATACCTCAAACCAGCCTTTTCTGTAGGCAGCTTTCCAACCGTGATGTTGGACACCAACAGCCATGCAGATACACAGCAAAAATCTATCCTCTCTGTTTTACATGAAAGACAGTATGTGGGTGCTGGCAACAGAAAAATCAACGTCTTTCAACTGCTCAAAACTATTTCTAAGGTAAGATTTTTAAATACTTGTCCTCTGTTAAATCCAAGTGTTTTATTTAGTTGAAACATAGAGAAAAATCATTCTATTCTTTTTGGGTCAGTTGTTTATGAAATGAGTTTTACCATTTTTTTTCTTGGATGCTGATTTGTTATTAAATATTATCTGAAGCAACACGCACATATGGGATTCCTTTCTGGAAAACAGTTTATGTACTGAGTATGAAAAACACATTTTGACTGTTCCAAACATAAGCAGTAAATGTTTAGCATGCAATATCATTCACGTACAATATGCAATAACCTTATTTTTGTCTTGTGGTTACAAACACTAGTCTACCAACCGTACAGTTATCTTCATCGTTTTTCCAATAAAGTCTGAAATTCCTAAATACGGCAGTAAGTTTTTTTTTTCTTTAACAACCAAGTTCTTTTATTGTTTTCCAAAACTCAAGTTTACAAGATTTCCAGTCTACTTTTTACCTCCCTCGGTGGTTTCAGCAAAGATTAAGGACAATCAATTCTTTCCAAGCTCTCTCCTGGAGCTTGTGTCTGTTACCTCATTTCCTGGCTCCTATGAAGCAATGTGAGACAAGACTTTGGTGAAAACTATCACCATAACATTTATATTTCCAAACACTGAGTTCAGTTCATCAAAACCAGTAATGAACTCCTTGGTATATGAGACTGAACTTCCTCATCCATCACACTCTCTCCTCTTCAGGTTTTCATATAACTCAGAAGCGTTTTCAAAAACGTTACTGGATAGTTTTCCAACTCTTCCAAGCAACCAGCCCTTCTTTTCTCTTTCACACTTCCCAGTAACGTATTTCACTAGACACTTCAACTTCCAGACACTGTCAAGGTCTTCTTACCCTTGATTTGGTCATCTCTGCTAGCCATTAAGCACCTCCCTTTCACACTCATTCAAACCACAGCATAATATATAGCACCCCATCTTAAATTTAAAAAAAAATAATAAATATTGTGTTCCTTAGCTGCATCACTCAGACATTCTTTGCTAAAGATCAGATTATATTTAAGATCAAGGACTACACATAATTTGGTATTTAAAAGCCACACAAAACAGTTTTACTGCTGTAACATAAAAACTTACCCACTTGGCAATTGGACACCCTTGAGAGCTTTTTCCTTCTTTTCCCGTATAAACCACTACCTCTATTCTTACAGCGCTTCCTTTTGCTCCATACCTGCATTAAAAAAAAGTTGATGAGTAAACCAAACTGCTGTAGACCATTTTAAACCAAGAAACATTTTCAATAAAATAACTGTTTTTCACTTTACTGAGAACAGAAGAAAAAGTATTTATAATGTCAAAGAATACTTTTAAATTGAAATTCTTATTTGCAAGAGCAATTTTTGACTTCTCTCTTCTGATGCCAAGCTTCTGCTACTAAGGAAACTTTATCCAGGGGAAGAAAATGCTACCTTCACATAAATCCTAGTGCACTGAGTCACTAATATGACCCTTCTGTCCAGTTTGCCACAGCTTTTCCGCATGTAGGACACTAGAAAAACTAACTCTGCCAGGTGCTGATCTCAGTCACCCCTAACGACTTCAACAGCACCAAAGAGCACACTGCACTTGAAATTCAATTGCGGGATTGCAAGAGCTCAGAAAAGACACGAGTTTGGACCTGAAATGCTACTGCTTACCTCACGCACATCCGAGCGGGGAAACGCTTTATAAACAAGTACTGTAAAACAAGTTACGAAAAACAAAGCTAAACATAGTACCTGACTTCACACAGCTCTTCCTTCTTTCCTGTTTAGACAGGTGAAAATACCGTGAGAATTAAATGCTGGATTTTCCTCACCTGTTCTCCATTATTTCTCTCACAGCAGCAACACTCGGTCCTGTCCCAAGGTGTGTGTAATATGGGCCTTCATCTTTCTCTATAATTTGCTCTGTAAGCAGGTTGAGAAAACTAAGTTGGCACATACAGAACTTATTTACACCATTACAAGTGAGCTTAGAAATGGTTTACAAAACTTAAGTCACAACACATAAAATTTGTCCATGAAATGTGATGAATAAAGAGCATGACAGACCTTCCTCCTCAGAGGCACTAAGATTATTTTATCCTTGTTTCCTCCTATTAATCTGCAAACATTTTTTTTTTTATGTTATAAAGTACTCCTAATTGGAGTAATATTTTGCATTCTTTACAAAGTTTTGTTAGAGGAGCTGGCATGTATTGGCTAAGTAAGCTTCCCAACATCCTTCTTGATAGGAAAACATTAATTTATTTTAGACAAAGAAGAACTGAGGAGAAAAAAAAATAATAAACTGATAGTCACATACTACAGAGCAGAAAATATAATCCAGGCCTCTCAACTAGCACTGCTGATTCAGAACATTAAAGCAAAGATGAAACAATCTGCCTGTGTACAATTTGTTGTTAAGTCTCTGACTTGATTTTCCATCTGTGAGCTCTGGTAGTTTGAAAACACAGCATGTTTAACGCCACCAATCCAGCTGTATTTGCAAAATTCTCAGCGTCGAGTTTGGCCTGACATCTCATCCTGCGACGCCAAGTATTACGCGTGTGGCCTTGCCTGAGGTGCATCTGATACACTGCAGATAAATTCACTCGGAGAACAAGCCAGCAAGGACAAAACAACAAACAGAAAAACTCCTTTTCTTCCTGGGTTTAAATGTAAGTAGAGAATTTAAACTTGCCAGCTGCAATACCAAAAATACTCATTTCCGCCGTGCTTTGCAGGCCCGAAGAACACCAGCCAAGCGTCACAGAAAGGGGAAAACGTAGTTTTCTCCCATTTCACCTTAGGGTGAAATACTCATCCCTTCACAACAGCTACAGAAGCGTCAAGTGCACCTCCTCACATGGAAGCAAGCCCTGTGAGCACAGCTCCATCTGAAAGGTAGAGGCAAGAGCTAGCAAAAAGGACTTACCGACACAGTCACAAGTTGGCAATTCCGATTGTCCTTTTTTGGTAGGAGTATCTATTAAATTTTTTGTAGGGGTATCAAGAAACTTCATAGGTGATTCAAGGAAACTGCTGAGCGTGTTTTTTGCTGGAGAACACCCTGAGTCACCTGCGCTCTGGGGATGGTCAGCACCCAAACCGGTCGACGTGAGAACAGTCACTTCGCCCGCACACTCCATGTTCCTGAGAGCTTCGACAGCACCTGGGGCCTGGGCCCCGCCACAGGGAACAGGCGGCACCTTCGGCGGCTTCAGCTCCCCTTGTTCGAGAGCACCCTGCGGGACACCGGCTTTGTCCTCACCACGCGTTTCGTTAGCTCTCAGGTTAGACTGACTGGAAGTTTGAGGCAAAGGATGCTTCTGGCTGACATTCACTGCTTGCTGTACCTGAGAATTACATTTTTCTGTAAACATCTGTAGGTTTTCACTTGGCCTGCACAGTAAGGATGCCATTTTCAACTGTGAAACGGCCAGAGGATTGCAGGAGGACAGGTCGCTCTGTTGGTTACGTGCAAGAACTTCATTTTTCAGTGGGTCAATGCCTAGTGGGTCACCGGAGCCTGCAGTTTTGGTTTGCTCATTCACCGTCTCGCTGCCAGACAACTTGTCTTTTTTTTTCTCTTGCAGTGGCTCAGGTAAACATCTATGGAATTTTATCTGTGTTTGCGGGAGAAATAATCTAGTTTTCTCTTGTGATGCTAAAGTATTTTGATTCAGTGCTCTCTGTACTTTGGTTCTTGGAGATTTTTTTTCAGACGGAGCTGCTCTGGAGTCCTGTGGCATGGTTTGACCAAGCTTGTGCAGTTTTGATTGTATCCAAATGTCCTGTAACTCACTATGCTGGCACGACAACAGCTCTAGCTGGTTTTGATTATTTTGTTGATAGCGTGCTTCTTGAGGCTTCTTTTTGTGCCTTGGTTTCCACGGCACAGCATTTCCTTTTTTATTTGCTGGTTGTTTTTGCTTTAACAGTAAAGAACTATAATTATGCCTAAAAAACACAGATTCTTTCTTCTGCAACACATCTTGGTCATACTTTGGCTGCCTCTCGTGCGAGATTAGATTAAGCAGCGATGCCTTTATGTCATTCTTCTGCTCTGGGTTTGTTTGGTTAGACTCAATTAGCGCTGCAAGTTGAGTTAGTTGTGTAGCTACGTCCTCTTCATCCTGGCTGTGAATTCCTCCTTCTTTAATAAAAGCACTAGCTTCCAAGTTCGGCTCATTACAGGTTGGCTTTTGCTCTAACTGGCCGAGAGCTTCCAACTTGGTACTTGTTTGCTGGACGTTACGTGAAGCATTGCAATACCGTGCGAGGGTGACTGGATCATGAGCGTAATTTTTCTTGGCAGTATATCCTGAAAATGATTTTGCATTGGATGTTAAGTCAGATAAGGTTTTGCTATCTCTCGAAGATAACTGTAATTTATACATTTCCCCAGCCAGGCTGGCGGGTTTATCCCGCAATTCAGAACTTGAACTTTGGCCGTTGTATAATACTGCCTTAGTAGGGAGCTGCTTCTGCGCGTGAGCGCAGTGAGCCAAGAGCTGTTGTTCATTCTGTAAGTAAGTGTCTTTGATTTCTTTTAACGCAGAAGACGTGAAGGGGGATGAGATATCCCTTTTGTAACTGTGGAGCAAGCTGGAAGTCATTTCTTGTGCACATTCAGTACTTTCAGTTTTAGCTGGTGAAGTTGTTTCTAACGGGGCTTCGGATAGCTGTGTTAAAGCTTCAATAGCTACAACCTGCTCTAGAGTTAAATTTCTGTTTTTAATTAGGGACAAGAAAGTCGGCTGGAGTGAAGAATCCTCGTGCTGCGTCTCCGTGTCGGGTAGTTGAAAGCCATCCTTCCCTACATGCACTTCCTCTTCGGGCAGGGGAGGACAGCACAAGCTTTCTTGAAGATCCAGAACAGAACCTGTCTGCAACGCCGACCGCTCAGAATCCTCAAAGATGCTGCAAGTGCAGTTTTCCTCCTTTATTAAAACATTTCCTTGTTTCTCTGGGTGAATGCAGCCAACGCCAGCCGACAGAGTGTTCACTATGTTACTCAGATTGGTACCCTTCATCCATTGCATAGGGGAGTTGCTTGTCAAATCCAGCCTTTCCTCTACGGACACTTTTTTCAGCGAAGCGACCGCTTCCGGTGGTGAATAATGTAGGGTTTTTATGCCATTTTTGATGGTCTGTGCAAACGATTTTTTTGGCTCAGCTAACTGACTGGGAGAGACTGCTCTTTCACCGCCTTCAGCGTTTTTCAAGTATTCGTTGCCTGTCACAGCTCCGTGGATATCTCCGTTGACGTGGACACCAAAAGCGGGCTTCTCGTTGTGGACCCACCTCTCTGCTTCTAAGCCGGTCATTCTTTCTTTCTCCTTAGACTGCACATTTTCAATGGGGACTGTTTGGTTTGTTTTCACCCTGTATTTTTCACCATGACCACATATACTGCATTCCATGAGTTCTGGTCTGCGGCCATTTACTGGTTTATTTTCTAAATTTGCCTATAAAATAATAAGAATAAAAAATGTGGTAACAGCTGCTCAAAAACATTACAAAGAAGCAGCATAAGATTTACAGCAATTTAATCCTACTTTGACAGATATGAGGAATATCCTAATTAAGCACAGACATTGGAAAAAAAACAACAGGAAGTCATAAAAACCCCAAAGCCTAAAGGCCCTATCCATATTTATAGTTATTTTTCTCCACTGTTGCAGTGGGGCAGAGAAAGAAAGCATGTGCATGTGGTGATGGTAGCAGACGAAAGAAATGAATGAACAGCTAAAGGACGTTAGCTGTAAGCTATCCTTAACAGCGTTTTAGTAAACTAAATTCTAAAATTTGGTTAAACATAGTCTTCATCTTCACTGACACTATACCATTCAGGTGGCTGAAGCAATGTCAAAATCTATCTAGAGTCAGAATATTTTGTTCTGGAAAGAATAAGCCTTAAGATAGCATTACAGATATGAAGTAAGGAGTTATGCAAGCTAAAAAAAATAAAATCAATAAAAATCAAGGCAAGAACAGCAATAAAGGCAGGAATCCAATTGTTATTATGTTAATCAAATTCTATTTATATTAAATTTTCTTTTAAAAAGAATTTTAAGTCACAATAGACAGTGCTGGTACTTAATCTTCTTTCCACATCTAAGAGTTATTTAAACAATCTGTAGCCTTAAGGCCTGCTTAACAAGAAAACCAGCACCCCTTTTCCAATCAGATATAAGAAATACAGCTGGTTAATTAACCATACACTGGCACAGTACGTCTTAGCAGTTTCCAGAAAATAGCACCCAATTTAATCTAAAACATTGTTAAATCAGACATGGTTTTGAAGCGCGTGGACTTCTCCGAGAAAATAACTCAGAAGAACAAATGCAGAATAGTTTTATGATTAACGATAACCATCGAGAGGGAACCGCCAGAACCCCCCGGGCAAAACAAGGCACACGGACCCAGCTCCATCTGGAGCCCAGCAGCCACCTCAAACCTGAGCCCCGAGTGATAAAAAGCAAACCCAGGGCTCCACAGATACTATGAGAGGCACCAAATTCTCATGGAAATGCTACACCAAAACACATCCAGCACCTAGGCAGCCAAGTCAAACCTCTGGGAATTAGACTAAAAAGAAAGACGCCGTATGCGATGCTCCTTCGTGACACGCAGATGCTGACTAAGGGTCTGCGAGCCTGAACGCCGCTGGATCGTGGTGAGTTTCAGTCAACAATGCACAGACCCAGGGGATCACTGAGCAATTTCTAAGAGATCCAACAAAGGTGGTTCAGCAACTCTGTTGTTTAGGAGGGCTAAGTGCATTACACGAGCCTCTGCAACCACACCAGAGAATATTTTAAGGGTCCACCAAGGAAGAGTAAAAATCCACAATCCTGTATCTGTGCAAAAGTTGAATTTCAATTACCTTAGCTTCAGAAATAACTAGCACATGAAACTCCTCTTTTTTCATCAGCAAAGGTCCATCTAGGATCTCTACCAGTCCAGAAGTTGTCCCAACCACTTAAAAATTGTTATTTAAAATAATTCAATTAGGCAATCAGGAGGCTGAGGATATTGAAGAAAATAGATTAAAATAATTCCCTAGCTCTTGTACATTTTCAACACAACAACACATTTTTGTATCCCCTTCATTTTTAGAGGATGTCACTCCCTACATTAAGAAAATTCTACAATCTGAGTCCAGTGAATTGAGAGCAAAGAGAGGTGGTGGGAAGGAGGGTTCAGCCATGATGAGTAGAGAAGGGAAAATCTGACAGAGAGTCCACCGACACCACCCTTAAAGTGCAAAAATGTCATCACACTTCTCTCTTGCCTATGTTGTTTCTCAGTAAAATACTTTCATCCGATCAAGAAGCACTGCTATGTTCCCAACTACTCAGGGTATTCCCTAATATGCTAGAAGTGCACAGGTGCAGTGCTTTGTCCCCATAAGACCTCGTGATCCAACAGTAAAGTGAGATTACTTTTAATATAAAATTATCCCTCATACATCATAATCTCCACTAACATTACTGGAAGCTACCCACATGAAATGGGGAAGAAAAAAAGAACCAGATGAATCATATCTTTGGCAAGATCTGGTTCATATTTTATTTTTCCCACACAAAGAGTAAATATTATCATATAACCAGATTTTTTTTTTTAATCAAACTCTCTTCCTTCTGAACACTACATTGCTTTTTCTCTTCCGTTACTGAATCACAGTGAATCCTGAAAAAATACCTTTTTCCTTCCTCTCCTACCAGACTTTCCATTGGCCTGTTCTGTTTAATACCAGAAGTTGTTGTTTCTCAACATAAAAATAAAAGCAGACATACTAGCAGGGGCAGAGCTTCTTTGATTCTTCTTCAGTGTAAGCCTAGCAGACCAAAAGTAACAGCTCAGCAAAAGCCTTTTGCAGCTGAATAGCCTAGGAGCAATCTATCATCAAAAGTCCTGAATCAGGACTCAAAATAAATTAGTGAAAACTACAGAGAACGATACCACCATTCCAAGCAACAGTCTTAACATTCGTGGAAGCTAAGCACGTAAGCCTGAGCTGATTGATTTCTGTATCTTCTACATGAGTGTCACAAAAAGCTGAAAAATAAGCCAGATCAATAAAAGTAATTTCCTCTCTTGCTCGTTAAGGAGAGCACTACACTATCGGGAGACATAAAACCAAAACAAATCCCACTCAAGCTCAGACTCAGCAGTTGTTACTGCTGCTAGGACAGGAACCAGCAAGGAGAGTCTGCCAGAGCCATTGCTGTAGTACTTAAACTTCAACCAGACATCAGCTCTGACACACACACACCGACAAAATCCACTCCGTGAGCTCATGTTTCCACCACACAGAAGCCAGTTACGGCAACTCATTTCACCATTCTGAAAAGGGTCAGACTTAACATTGATTTTTCTTTCAAACACAAGATGTCTCTCAGGTCATGCAAAGAGTTCACCAGAGAGTACAATGCTAAAGCAGGTAGCTTTAAGGTATAAAGACAGTTCCACAACTTCTGCACTTCTAGAGGTCTCTGTGCAGAGAAACAGTTTGGGGACCTTTATTAATGAAATGTAGCCTGTACATACAAGATGTTTTGCTTCTCAAGTGAACAACAATCACAGATGGTACTGAGGGAAAGGACATGTAATTCTGCACTTTAGAAGCTACAACAATCAAAGCAAATAACCTCTACTCGTGGCAAAAGCATGTAGACAACGTTTTAGCAGAGAGGCTGGTTTATGCAGAAAGTCATGGGAACAAGAGGTTCTGCAAATCCAGACGACGCAACCTGACCTGGGCACACAGCAGAGCCCGCTCGGGATGCCCAGGCTTTTGCTGCCAACTTCCGTGCCTCTGAGCATCAAATGCATCCAAAGCCACCAACTTGAGCATCACGGCAGGTAACGTGTCACACTGGATCTTACAACAGTCAGAAAGGTGTATTCTTCTTCATATCTATAGCCACAACAGCGAAGAACATTCTCCAAGCTACAGCTTAGCTCTCTCTTTCCCAGTTCCATCTCCCTTTGATCTACACTTGTATCCTTTTTGCTCTGTTCTTCAAACATCAGGCAGCTTTCCCGCCAGGAAAGTTCCTTATCTTGTCTTTCCATGAGAAATTAGTATATCACAACCTTAAAGTCTTCACATGTTTGTTGCCGTCATTTTCTCTCCTACACCACTGCTGCAGCTGTCCTGCTCATCTTGTCTAACAACTTCAGCGAGACCACTTACAAAGAAGATCTGCTGCATCAGACCTTAAAGGATGCACTTATTAACAAAATCAAGAACTACAGGATACCAATTCTGGCTGTAAAGACTTCAAATGGTGACTCCCAGAGATCAGATTAACACTTGGAAATATGCTCTCTCAGCCACAAACTCAAATTATTGTTTCTGTCAACCTTGAGCTCTAGGTTGTGAAAGCTACAAACTGGAGCAAGACAAATAATACTGAGTGAAGGACATCCCATTATCCCACACAGACACCCAAGAAGTGGATGTGCTAAGAAAAAAAATAATAATCCAAATATTACGCTACTTTTTCTGCCACAGAAGCAAACAAACATCTTGCTTGGTGGTTTTTGTTTTGTTTGGTTTTCCGGTTTGGTTCATTTTGGGTTTCTTTTTTTTACTGGTGTTTTGAATTACTCAATCATTTGTCTTCAACACTGAAACCAAGCACTCAAAGAGGCACTTGGCAGCCCTGGAAAATACAGCACTCAATTAAGCCACAAAAGAAAAATGATACAATCAGCAGCAGTATGTATGCCCTAATAGAATCTTCCCCTAACACGCTTTAACTCAAAAGGAGAGATGAAAGAAATTCAGTCTTTGAATTTATCCATCCTAGCTAATGTCTCTTGTGGTCCACTCATTTATGAAACCATCACGACAGCATTAACAAAGTACTGCCTGGCCCTTAAGTGAAAATGGAGAACCATCTCAGTGTTCGTAAGAGGGTGTTCAGGGAACACACCACAGCCATATCTAACATTTTTAGCTCTGATCTGGAAGAAAAGTGAAACTCGTACTGATAGAAAAGTAGCAAATAATTAAAAGATCAGAGATGATGCTTCCTAAATGAAGCAGCGAGCCAGCTGCGAGCACACATTTCAGTCCAGCTGAGGGTGAAGTTGTGTATCCAGCAACAAAGACATGAGACTATAGTTACAAAATGCAGGTTTCCCTCTTAGCAAGCAGCGCCTTTAAGGAGGACATTAACATGGTCAATAATCAACTATGCAGTAACTGCAGAGACTCCTTCTGCAACTTTATGGCCGAAAGAGTTAGTAAGATTCTTGGGTGCCTCAAAAATACAATTAGGAAAAGATGAGTTACTTTCCATCCTGTACTTGGCACTTTTGCCCCTGCTAGCGGAATAAAGCATCCAGTCCTGACATACCCAATTCAAGCACGCCGCTGGTTATACTGGAGAGGACTTGGAGGACCACGAGAGTGACAAAGGATTGAAGCTTCTCGAAGGGAAAGCCTCAAGTT